CCCACTATCTTGGACGTACTGGACGGCGGGGACGCCACGAAGCCGCCCGACCCCGACGCAGAACTGCGCGAGGACGCCCCCGAGAACCCCCACCCCGACGCAGAGCTGCGGGAGGACGGCCCCGAGGACCCCCACCCCGACGCAGACGCCCCCGAGGACCCCCACCCCGACGCAGACGCCCCCGAGGACCCCCACCCCGACGCAGAGCTGCGCGAGGACGCCCCCGAGAACCCCCACCCCGACGCAGAGCTGCGGGAGGACGGCCCCGAGGACCCCCACCCCGACGCAGAACTGCGCGAGGACGCCCCCGAGGACCCCCACCCCGACGCAGAGCTGTGGGAGGAGGAAGCCGACCCCAAGGACTCCAAGGCCAGGACGCAGCCCTTACGGGGGTGCCCCGCTGGAGCCCGGCCTGCAAGGAGGGTAGAGCTGGTAGAGGCCGGCGGAGCCGCCCGGGGATCGTGCCTGCCCCCTCTAGAGGTGGAAGCCGACTGGGGTCCGGGGGCCTGGGCCCAGGACAGAAGGGCCCCGCGCCAGCCGCGCCCCACGCACTTCGTGGCGCTCGCGGTGACGGAGCCCAGCCTTCGGGCAGAAGTGGCCAAGGCCCAGGCGCGCCTGGCGCTCGAGGCCCCGACCTGCACCGCGTTCCTGGTGCCCCCGGCGGCCCTGCACCTGACGCTGGCCCTGCTGCGCCTGGCGGGCCCTGGGGAGGAGGCGGCGGCCGCCGCTGCGCTGAGACGCGCCCTCCCAGACCCGACGCTCGGGGCACCCCGACAGCTGCGCTTCCAGGACCTTGTACTCCTGGGCCCCCACGTGCTCTGCGCCCCACCGACACCCACTCTGGCAGGCGTGGCCCAGCAGCTGGGCCGAAGGCTGGAGGCCGAGGGGCTGGAGGTGCTGCAGCCGCCCGGTGGGCTGCACCCCCACCTCACGCTGGCCAAGGTGCCCCGTGGCTCCCAAGTCCGCCTCCCAGAGCCAGCGTTCTGCCTGGACGAGGAGCTGGGGACCCAGCCTCTGGGAAGCCTCTGGCTGTGCCGCGTGGGGAGGGCCGGGGACACCTACAGGCGCCTGGCCGAGATCCCCTGGGGTGACGGGGCAGGAAGGACAAAGCCAGCTCTCTCTCTCTCTCTTTAATTTTGGCTTCTCTCAAGCTTCCAAATGGCGTCAGCGCTCCAAGGAAAGAATGAAGGAAGGAGGGGAGAGGAGGGAGGGAGGCAGAGGGGGCGTCTGGAAAAAAAGCAGCCCGACAGTCCAGCTGTTTGCAAACTCAGCACACCCTCCATTACATGGCAGAAGAGGGGGAGGGCCGAAAAGAAAGGGGGAGGAAGGAAAAATAACTTAAATAAACACACACACAAAGAAAAGAGAAGGAAACATGACGTGAGCTGGTGATCCATGAGGCAGGGAGGGAGGAAGGGTAACCGCTTTACCTGTGCTGAACCGGGGAGGGCTGGGGATGGGGAGGAGGGAGGAAAGGGGGAAAAAAAACCAGAAGAGACATTGGGGGCGGAGGGAGGAGGGACACGAGACAACTTAATACAACTTGAGGGCAGGCGGCCCGGCCGGCGAGGTCCCACGCTGCCTCCAGGTCCTCGGTGCACTGCGGTAGCGCTGGTCTGCGGTGACGTTGGCATTGGTGATTCCGGGGTGGGGGCCCAGGGCGGGCACAGTCTCTAGGCGGCTCCCTCACCCCAAACACTGAGGCCCCAGAGGGCTCGGCAACAAGAGTCTGTGAAGAGGCCGAAGAGGCGCTGGGCGCGGGCTGGCTGGCGGGCTGGCACCCGATGCGGGTGGGCGCAGGTGGACGGCCCGTCTTCATCCCGCAGAAGGGCCCAGGCACAGGAGGGGCCAGCACGCCGGGTCGGTGCCGCAGTAGGAGCTCGAGAGAGAGAGAGAGAAAACACTGAGACAGCATTAGTGGAGGTGAAGGTGGACACGGCCTGCAGACCCCACCCACCCGCCACCCCTTCTCCACCCCACCCACCCCTCTGAGACAAAAATAAAAATGTAGAAAAATCTCTGTACAGACATCCCGGTGGGAAACGGGACAGGGACGGAGGCTCTTCCCGGAGCCCACTCCCCATAAATTCATTTACAACCCAAGTCCATGGCTCAAAAACAAAATCCGCAAGGCGGTGCTGGGACCAGAGCCCCGGCCACCCGGGCTCGCTGGGTGCTCAGAAGGCTGGCAGCTGCGCCAGGCTGAGGCGGCAGTCGATGCTGGAGTTGTCGGGGCCCATGTAGGCCAGGCCCAGGGGCTCTAGGAAGGCCCGGCAGGCGGCCTCGCCCTCGAAGGCCAGCTCGGCCTGCAGGTAGGAGACAGGCAGCGCAGGGCGGAAGCTACGGAGACAAGAGGAGAGAGGGATGAGGCAGGCAGGCAGGCAGGGGTCCTGAGTGAGGAGCAGGTGCCCCCCTCAGGCACCCACAGGTCTTCCTGGCCCTGTTGGCCCCCCATGCCTCCCAGCCTCCCCCCTCTAGGGCTTGGGGGGCCCGGGGTAGGGCTGATGGCCCCAGTCCCCAGCTGTACCCCCCTCACCCACACTTACCTGTCCAGGAAGGAGAGGGAACAGGAGTGGAGGGGCTGGAGCCAGACCACCCCGAGCAGGGAGCGGCGTGGGCAGAGGAGGGCAGGGCCAACAGCCTGCCTGGGGTCAAAGTGCCCCCGGGCACAGGTGTGCCAGCCGGCACTGTTAGGAACTGGCAGGAAACAGCTGTCTGAACAGCGTCCCGCTGACTTGGGGGCCCCTCCCTACAGGCTGTGACAGAGGACCTTTACTCGGGAAGTGCCTCTCAGGACCTGCACCTGATTCTGCCTGCAAAGCCTGTTTTCTGCCCGAGGCTGGCTGCACACCCCATCAGGAACGTGGCTCTGAGATCTGAGCGGGTCTCGTGTGCCAAGAGCCACGCCAACCTCATCAAGAGGCCGGAGAGGAAGGGGGTCCGTGACGCTGTGCCACCCCGCAAGGCCAGTCACGGGACAGGAGTGGACAGATACCCACTGCACAGGTGCATGCCCGGTGCAGCCCAATCTGAGGACCGAGTGGCCCCTACCTCTCCCCTCCACAGCCAGGGATCCCTGTGCCATGTGCTCCGCTGCCCCTGCCCTGGCTGCCTCGCCCTGTCTGGCTGGAACTACAGCCTCGCTTATCCTTCAGCTCACAGCCCTCCTCAGCCACAGACAACGCTAGGCTCCCTACCACCTCTCTGATCAGCTGCCTGGGCCCACGGAGTCCCGAGCAGGACTGTTCCACCCGGCGTCCCTGCGTGCTGGATGCCTACAGCATGCTCCTCAGCAGATGTGTGCCAAGCACACGTGCCCCAGCACCGCCATGCCCTGGAGGCACGTCCAACCCCAAAGAACTGGGGGCTGAGCCGCGCCGAGCACCTCCTCCCCAGGCCCAGCGAGGATGAAGGCCATGCCCAGTCCTCGAGGGCCTGGCCCCCCAGCCCGCATGGCCGGTCCCTGCCACGCTCCCTCGGCACTCCTGCCACCCCACAAGGAGCTGAATGGGAACCAGGCCTCGGCTCGAGACCAGAAGCTGAGGGCGGGGCCGGGCCTTCCTAGCCTCTCTAGCGCAGGGGCACTGAGGAGTTGCAACGGACAGGCGGAGGCCTGCAGGGGCACCAGGAGCCCAGCCGAGTCAGATTCCGGCGACAAGAGCAGGAGGAAAGGCAGAGGGAAAGCACAGAAGAGGTGAGGTCGGGAAGAGGAGTCAGAGAGGGGGACCTGGACCCGAGGACAGCAGGGCGCAGTGTGAGCGAGGGCGGAGGAGGCTCCAGGGTGAGGGCAGAAGCCCGAGACCGCCAGGAGCACAGAGGGTGAGAGGTGTGGCAGGGCCACAGCGCGGTGCCACATACGTTTTGATCATTGCCTTGAGGGCAGCCTTGCGCTCCCGGTCTGCGAACTTGTCCACGAGGTAGCCAGACATGCAGGGCGCGTGGCAGTAGAGCCGGAAGAAGCGGTGGTAGTTGCCCAGGGCCCAGGCTGCCCGCAGTGCCAATGCATGGGCCACACAAGGGTCTGCCTTCAGCTCCCGCGTGAGGTACGCCAGCTCGGTGGTGATGTCTGTGCCCAAAACAGTCTGTCAGCAGGGGGCCACCCTGGGCACCCTGGGGTGATGCCAGGGGGGCGGGCCTCTCACCTCCTGAGTTCTTGGTGAAGATGTAGTAGAGGATCCGGTAGGCAGTAAACTCGCCCACGTTGCCTGGCAAGTTCTCCGCGTAAAGAGACTTGAGCTGTGTCTGGCACTGGTTGAACTCTTCGTGGTCACCCTGAGGGCAGGCAAGGGTGGGGGAAGCAGCACTGTGAGGCCAGGCAGGCGCGGAGGCCGAGGGTAGCACGGGGAGGCCCAGGAGGGCGGACACGCACCTTCTCCAGGGCGATGCGGGCGTGGGTCTCATACACCTCCACGGTGAACTCCGTGCGGACACCTTGCACCTGGCGGGGGGTGGAGGGAGACACACAGTCACACAGAGCAGGGTGGAGCCGGCAGCCACACTGGGGCCACCTGGGGTTCTCCTCACCGTCAGGTCCTGCCGGATGGATTTCATCTGCTCGCAGGCAAAGGCGTAGTCCTGCTTCTCCTTCCAGTGGGACTTGACCATGCACAGGGACTTCTTCAAAACCTGGCAGGAAACGAAACAAGACTCATGGGCAAACAGGCAGGGGCAGCCGGGCGAGTGCTCCCTTTCCCGTCCGTCGCTCGGCTCTGTGAGATGACAGTAACACCAAAGGCGGCAGCGGGGGCTGTGTCTGGATGTCCCCCGAAGCCTCATGCGGTCATAGGCAGGGCTTTCCGGGGGGCTGGATCCACAGTGTGTGGTGCTGGAATTAAGCGTGAGGACAAATTCAGTCCACTGACTGGTTTGGCACGGCCCTGAACCCAGTAGCCTGGACTGCCACCTGCTGCAATCAACTGCTTCTCCTCTGTGGCACCCTCTGCCGTGCTTCCCTGCTTTGGAGCCAGCCACCTATGGATTGAAACCTCTAAAAACCGAGCCAACTAAACCTTTCCTTCCTTAACTGTGGGCATCGGGTATTTTGTCTCAGCAACAAGGAAAGTAACTAAGACAGCAGGCTAGTGACTCACTGCTGCCGTAAAAAACAAAGGCACAGCCGCAGCAAGGGCCAGTGTGTCCCCCACACCGCTTCCTGGGGCGCGCACCTGTCCTGGAGTGGAGCACCGTTCACCTTCCTCTCTGCCCCAGCCCTGGGAGCCTGTGCCCAGGAAGGCTTCCATGGCCCTCAGCAGGGGCAAGGCAGCACGCCTTCTGCAGTTCCAGGAACAGGGCTGCCTAGGCTCCAGCCAAGCTGTGAGCGCCCTCCCAGGGAGAGGCCCCAGGCCTCCAGCCAGCACCTCAAGGGGGAGACTGCCCTGCATGGGACTTACTGTTACAGGGCGCACAGTGGAAGGGTCCGGGGCACAGGTGAGACGCAGGTAATGCTTGGTGATGTCTGGGCAGGTGCCCACGATCTGCAGCTCCTGCCAGTCAGGGTCAGCCCCGCCACTGTCCAAACTGCTCATCTGCAACACCAGGGGCTCCAGGCGCAGGCGGCGCGAGTGCCCGTGCTGGAACCGGGCCGCACGCTTCTGCTTCTTCAGCTCACGCTCCGGGTCCTCACACTCCAGCGCAGCCATCTTCTTGCGGCTGCGCTTCGTGGGAGCCAGATCATGCCTGCGAGGAAGGAGGGCACAAGGAAGCAGGCGTCTCCGGCCACCGTCCGGCCTCGGCCAGCTGCCCGCTGCCCAGGCCACCACCCTGGCCGCCCAAGCCTGCGATGCAGCCCCCGAGTCTCACCTCTTCCCTCGCTGTGCCCGGCCCCGGCCCCGGTCCATGTGGGCGCCCCGACCCCCGCGGCCCTTGGGGGGTGGGTTCCTGCGGGTCACAGGGTGACACTCGTTCCCCGAGTAGGAGCTGTCAGAGTCTGAGTGGGAGTCACTGCACAAGGAAGCAAGAGAGTCAGGTCTTGGCAGCGCACCCACCCACCGCCCCCCCAGCCGCTCTGCCTCTGCGCACCTTCTCCGGAAGTGGCGTGTGGGGGACCTGGAGGAGGAGCGGGAGCGGGAGTCCGTGCTGGAGGAAGAGCTGTGGTCCTTCATGAAGACGTTGCGGTTGCCGAACTTGGCGAAGCTGCTGCCCCGGGCTCGGCCAGCACCCCCAGCCCCGGCCGCCCCTCGCTGGGACTGGGCGCCCCCGCCCCTGCTCACTGAGCCTGCCCCCCTGGGAGGGTGAAGGCTGCCAGGGGCCTCCCACCGCTTCTTCTTGGGGCTCTCAGCCACAGGCTCCCTGGTCAGTCTGAAGATACCGAGGGGTAGGGAATCACCAATCCAGCCACCACAGTGTGAGCCTGCAGGCCCTGCCACCCCAGAGCGGAGGACTCCCCCCGCCAGAAAGGACGCGCTCACCCCGGAGACTCGGTTGGTACAGGGCAGGAGAGGGAGCACCCCAAAGTTCTGTGACTGGGCATGTTTTCCACCGCTGCAGCCTGCAGCCCGGCCCACCCCAGAGGCTGGCCACAGCCACGCTGGGACCCCGCTGCACCCGCAGGCCTCCCACCCAGGGCTCCACAGCCTAGGACTCAGCACTCCGGCTCCTTGCTCCAGAGCCCGGCCTGAACTCCACCACCCTCCTCCGCTGCACCCAGACTGACCCCGGTAGTGGCTCGCGGCTCCAGTCGATGGTGTAGGCTGAGCCGTCCTGTAGCCGGGCCTGCAGCACCTCCTTGAGCAGCTTCTCTGTCCGGTCCTTATCCTCCTCTGACTCGCAGGCCGTGAAGCAGCGCTCCACATACTCCTTCATGTCTTGCGGCCAATCATCAGGCTTCCCTGACAGGTTCCCCCGAGGGGAAGGCCCACTGTGGGGACAGACAAGGGCCTAAGCTAGGACCCCAACCCAAGCAGAGGCCTCATAGGACCCCGTTCAGGGCTCAGGGCGGGCCAGCAGGCACCTCACCTGTGGTTCTGGGCTTTCTCTGGGTTGGGCTGGGGACCGAAGCTGCTGTGCTGGTTCTCGGCACTGGAGCCAAAGCCCTGGCTAGTGACAGCAAAGGGCCGCTTCTGAATGTTGAACTTGAGGCCCCCTGTCCCAGGGGCCGCTGTAGGGTAGCCAAGGCTGAGGTTAGGCCCTTTGGACACACCAAGGATGCCTCAGAACGCAGGACAGCACCAAGGGCAGAGGGGCCAGGAACTCAGACTGTAGCAAACGCACCCACAGCAGCCACCTCCAGTGTCAGGACCTCAACAGCCAGATACCACACCCGGCACATCTGGCGCCTGGGAGCTCTGAGGATCCTGCCCCATCCCTGGCCTCCTGGGGCTTTGCCAACTTACGCTTCATGCGGTTCCACAGCTGCTGACCCTTCTTGGGCTTTGCAGGCTCAGGGTAGGTGTGCGGCCCGTAGGCCTGGCCTGCAGGGGGCCCCGCTTGGCTGTGCTGCGTGGCGGGGGCTGTTCCAGGCTGGGGGCCACTGCTCAGAGTATGGGCCCCGTGTGGGGGATTCGAGGGCTGTGGGGGCTGGGCCGCCGGGAGCTGCTGCGGGGAGGCCTGGTAAGCCATGCTCTCGTCCATGCCGGGGACTGGGGGCTGCGGAGGTAAGCAGGTCTGAGCGAGGAGGCAGTTCTGGAGCTGGCCTCACCATGACATGACGCTGCAACCTGACTCCACTGCACACGGTGGTGACAGCACATCCCCTCCGGTGGTGCCCTCTGAGCACAGACAGCATGGGGAGGAGCATCCCCAGAAACCCTACTTGGGTCACCACCTCCCCTGGAAAGAGCTGACTGAGCAGAGATCACCAGCTTGAAAGACAGTATGTGTGGGTAATGGAGCTCGGATTCAGACCCAGCTCGACCTCCATCCCAAGCACTGGGCTCCGCCGTCCCTCCAAGCTGCACTTAAACACAGAGCAGACCGCGTGTGTGCGTGCACGTGTGAGCATGTGCTGCAGGGAGACACAAGACAGACTTCCGCGCCACACAATGCTGCCACCCCTGGCCTTGCCCAAGACACAGGCCCACCCGACTTCAGAAACTATGCTTTGCCCTCCTCATTTTTAGGTCAGAAGCTGCTCGGAAGGAATAAAACACGGTGGGGGCTGGGGAGAAGCAGTTTAAATAATATGGGCAACTCCCCACTGTGAGCCCCCAAACCTACGTCCCCTGCTCGAGCCTGAGCGGGAGCTGGGGGCACAGTGTTACCTGGTTCAGGGTCCCTTGGTGCTGGGGTGCCGAAGGCTGCTGGGGGGTGGCTGAGCCGTAGGAGCCGGCCATGCCGTACTGGGAGGGGGAGCCGTAGTTCTGGTACACGCTCTGCCAAGGGCACAGGGGAGGCGTTAGTGGCAGGCCGCCCGTGCCCCCTTCTGCCTGCTCAGACCATGCACAACCTGACTGCAGAGCCCTGGCCCTTTGCTCTCCACTGTCCAGGAGCAACAAGTCCTCTGTGTCGATGAAAAGGAAACGCCTGTCAGCCCCCATCCTGCTTACAGGAACTCTCAGAAGGTGCCACTCAACTCTCCCTCATCGCGTGCTAATTCCAAGCCCCACAGTAATGAAGTAAAAACCAAAACTGAATTTTAACAAAGCTTGCATTGAAGATACACATGCAGCTGCTGGCAGAAACACATGCCCTGTAATAAGGACCGTGAGGGACAGGGACAGAGCTGGGGAAGCTCTCGGGAAAGCTACAGTTGGGAGGCCCTGAAGGCGCTGTCTAAGCAGACCCCCAGGTGGGCACGTGGGGAAGGAGACAGCTGCAGCAGAGCAAAGCACGAGTGACACGGCGTGCGCTGGACATCATGGTCTCCAGGCAACAAGGAGCCTGATGCAAACGGGGGACGGGCCGGAACCAGAGTGGAAGGTGGGGCCTTGGGCCTGAGCGTGGCTGCTACTCCACCCTGGCACTGCTTGGCCACACTCTGACACACCCCATGCCCTCCAGCAAGGCACTCACCATGGGGTAGTAGTAGCTATAGGGGTAGGCATAGTTGTACTGCTGGTACCACTGGTAGTACTGCTGCTGCTGCAGGGCGGAGGCTTCTGCCTGAGACACGTACTGCGGAAACAGAGGCCCCAGGCTGTCAGTACCATGGCCCCCAGAGGGCGGCCGCTCCACTGAGGGTGACTGCTGAGGGAGTGGCCTGACCACCAGACTCAAGCACCTAAGGGACAAGGGACAGTGTCTCCCTCTTCAGGACCAAACCTGCCTTGGCAGTCTCAAGGACCAGAACCCCACCCCAAGCAGACTTACACATCGGAAAAGCATCTTTTTAACACTACCCCTCAGAGCGCCCTATCCCGGTGAGAAGAAGAACCAGGCCAAGTCCCTCCCCTGCGGCCCCACTCAGGGTTCCCCAGTCCTTGTGGCCTCCTCACCTGTGCACCGGCTACAGGCCCACTGCTGCTGGCCTTTGAGCTGCCAGCGGCTCCTGCTTTGCTGATGCTGGCCAGGGCCTGGCGGGCCTTCTCCCACTCGGGGTTCTCACGCATGGGGGTCTCCATGCCGTTCTCTCTGCCAGTCCCGGCCACCATGCTGTACTGGGAAGACCTGCAGAGAAGACGTCAAGTCAATCAGTGGGAACGTGGCAAGAGACAGACACCAGACCTCAAACCCCAGATTCAAGCTCCGACCTATCTGAATCTACGTCTTCTAATTACACTAGGCTTAGAAAAGCTTGAGAGCTCTCCGTGAGAGAATAATGAGGTTCCCCGTTTGTGGGACCTATCTGGGGGACTGGCACACAGCAGACGTTAATAAACCAATGGGTGGACAGCGTCTGCAGAATTTAACATTACGAGTCTAGCCTCTAGTAGACCTCAGTGTTTTGAGAAAAATGAACTTCACTGGGTGTGGTGATGCCCTGTAATTCCAGCACTCATGAGGCTGAGGCAGGAGGATCACTGCAAGTTCGAGACCAGCCTGGACTAAAAGTGAGTTCCAAGCCAACCTGAACTGCATATCAAGACCTTGTCCCAAAGAGACAAAATAAAAAAAGTCCATGAATTGTCTGTCACCACCCACAGTCACCACACTGTGTGGAAATTACGAATTAGCAGAAAAACAAGTAACTGAGTACTGAAAGGTCCTTCTTCCTTAAAGCTGCTTGAAAGAAGCACAATTCTCTGCCGTGAATGCCACGCTATAAACATGAACACTCAGAGATGAAGACTTGCCCTTCTGCAAACTATGAACACGTCCCCCTTCTGCGCCTTGCCTGGGACTGCAGCACCTCTTCCCTGGCCTGTGTGAGGCCCCCCAGCGGACTGCACTGGGTCCCTGAACGCCCCCCCCCCATCCCTCCAGCCCCTACTAACCAATCTGTGCTACGCTGGTCACCCACGTTGGCCGCCATCTGGACCTTGGGGTGCAGGGGGTGGGTCTCGGGAGCCAGGCTGCTTTCTCACTGTCTGTGCAAGAAAGAGTAAGTTAGGGAGACCCGAGGAGCCTGAAACACAAAAAGAGGAAAAGCTGGTGAATTCACAAGAGGCCAGACCAGAAGGGGCATTTGAGGTGTTAGGACTTCTGTTTGAGATCAGACCCAGGGGGTAAAGACATGAAGAAGATTCTGGGTGTGGAACAAAGGGGCCAGCATCGAATGTATGGCGCTGGCCTTCCCGCTGTGCCACAGGTGGCAAATCAAGGGTTTGACAACCAGGAAACTTGAAGTAGCTTCCCAAACAACAAGGTCCGAAATCTACAAGAGGAAAAGGAGGGTGAGAGGCAAGGGAAAGGGGCCTCAAGAACAGAGTCTAAAAATAACTCCAAACTCTGGGTGGTAGCGCCCGCCTGTACTAGCAGCACTGGGGCTGAGGCAGGAGGATCCTCGAGTTCGAGGCCAGCCTGGGCTACAGAGCAAGACCCTGCCTCAAAAATAGGATACTAAGTAAATAAATAAAAATAACTCCAGACAGCAGTGATTTTGAGGAAGCAGGAGGACGCTGCTCCAGGGAGCAAGGTCTCCAAGAACTTTGCAGGCGGGGAAACCTGGCACGAAGGAAGCCTTCTGAGGCCCTGTGGGGAGGAGCTGGGAGAACACCGGCAAATGCAGGCAAGTTTGAGGACTGGGGGTTTTCTGCCAGTTCCTCTGAGGAGAGGCGTAAGTTCAGGTGCTCGAGAGGGAATCTCCCTTGGAAGAAATAAATTCTCAGGAAGCACCCAGAGATTCATTTCAGAACAGTTCCCTACGGGCGGAGAAGAGGCCTGCTGCGAGGGTTGCTAGCAGGGAGGGCTGGGAGCGAGGAGATCGCCCAGGCTGACAAAGCTTTGAGGACCCCCACGAGGGCCCCCAGTACGGGGGGGAACCGCTAAGGGTAGGAAAGCGTCCTGGACGGAGAGGGTCCTCTGGGGGCTGCGGCTGCGAACTGGGGGCCGCCAGCGCGGGAGGGATTCCCTGAGGGGCGGGAGGGAAGCCCGCCGCAGAGCCCGGAAGTCCTACGGCAGGCTAAGGCGGAACAGAAACCCCAACAGGACGAACACCTCGAAGAGGACGCGGAATTGAGCGGAGGACAGGAGTCCCGAGTGGGGGGCCCACGGGGGATCAGGCAGGAGGGAGACAGGGTAAGAACAGCGGAGGGAACGGAAGAGAGGTCGCCGCGCGGGTGAGCACCTAACGACCCGCACGCCCCAGGCAGGCGCAGGAGGACGCCGCGCCTGGCCGCCGTCGCCGGGGCAACGGG